AGTGTGTGTGTGTGTGTGTGTGTGTGTGTGTGTGTGTGTGTGTGTGTGTGTGTGTGTGTGTGTGTGTGCGTGTGAGCGCATCTGTGCACATGCATGTGTCATGTGTATGTAATGGTCCAGCAGCTACATGGATTGAAAAGGGACCAAACCTGTCTCAGCTTACTTCTCACCCCACCTCCACACTCATCCTGGTACTTTGAGTAATTTACAGCTACACTGGAGCAGATGAGACTGACATCCAGTAGCTTTGATTGACTCTGAGCCAAGCAGGCCACCACAGGCCCAGGCACACACAAACACACACTCACAAGTTTACAGTATACACAAATATAACCAGCAGATACCCTTCCTTTCCACACATGCTCCCTCTCTGTCACATACACATATTGATGGCTAAGCAAAGAGGTGTGAACACAAACTATCGGATAGGAATTGGAAAGTGTCACACCAAGCTAAGCTGTGACTTGTGTGTAATTCGTTTTTCGAGTGACCAAAAATATCCACTCCCTGCCGTAAATAGCCCACGACACCTCCAGAGCTCCGAAGCATTTCTTTCTTTTTTCAAAGTTCACATTTATTATGGTGGCGACGCCCCCCCCCTACAGAAGACCAGGGAATTTAATTGCTGTCCCACTGACTGACAAGTGTATTTGTTTTCCAATTATGACCCTAACAAAATATGGAGAAGAAAATATAGAGTAAAAGAGCAAAATATAATAAAATAAATTCTTGTATGTATCTTAAACTATTAAGATACATAGATTAATAAAATAGAAATTCTAATCATTCAGTAGGAGTACTGACAAACAGCCGTAAAGAAATCCAACCCTCAGTAAAAAAATCCAAACGATAAAACCTATCAGCTACTTAAGAATGACTTTGACTTGCATGTATGAGACTAAGAATTAAAACAGACTTATGACACAATTTAGACAAATAAATCTAACTTTAGGGACACAGCAGTGATCAAGTGGACACCAAGTATTTTCGAGCTGAGGCCTTAAAACTATTGTTTCTACCCTAAGTGGGTCCAAGCAGTGAATCAAGAGTATCTTCCTATTCTTACTGTCCTAAATGATTAGCCCATGAAGAGACTGAACACTTGACCGGTTACATTGTCCCTGAGGCCGAGCAAGAGGAAGACCAGTCGCTGATTCTGGAAACTCCGGCACACACATACAACAAGAACATCCTAAACAAGAGCCACCAGATAAACCACCAGTGCAATGCTCGGCTAAAGAGAGATGCATTCATCTCAAAAGAAATATGAGAGGTAAAATGAATTGTACTACATTTCTAAGAAGGGTGTCAACATTTGTTTGTATCATAATATGATATGATACCTATTCTTTGGACAGTGATACAATATCAGTTTGTATCTCAAAGTCTGATAAAATGGGGTTTATATTTTAAATCAATTCAGGGGCATGTGGTCAATAGAGACTATTTCATTAATATCAACTCAAGTTGTATTACTGGGCTCTGTAAAACACAGGTATGCTTGGAAGGAGATGTTGACACGGATGAAACCTTGTTTGTTGAGTATGTTTATCAGCTGCTGTGTAATACTAAACATGTATTCTCTTCATAGTTTGAGTTCCTTTTAGGCAAACAGTTATGTCACCTTGTTTGACCTACTGTTATAACTGCCCCTGACGCTAATAATCAGAGATGACATACACTATTTCTATAGATAATGTTAGAATCTGATTGGGGTCATTACTTGGGGACATGAAAAGCAGAACTAACTGCACAGCTTCCACAGAGTAAACACCAACAAATGTGACCGCTAAACGACACTGCTAAAGCAAAAGGTAGAGGTGGTGACTTTCACAGGAATGTCACAGGAAACAGAGGAAATGAGAGCACTTTCTTTAGTAACTCAATTCAATTTGCATCAAGGGTATTCCATGTTATTGTTTCTTTCTAATCTCAATTCTTCCTTTAACGATGAATAGCTTGTGTTGAGTGTTCAACGTAAAATAAAAGTGTGCAGGATACAGACACAAAACAAAGACTATGTGTGGAGTATGTAGTCACTGTATGTCCTATGATGTGTATGTGTGTGTTGCTGGAGTGAGATAGCAGGCTGGTTGGGCCTTTAGCTGTTGCCATGACAACCAGAGATAGCTGTCCTGGTAAGCAATAGTGAGATAGAGTGTGTTACAGTTTTTTTTTTACTTATTTAAAATAAAAATAAATCTCTTTTAAATTAAGCAGATGTCCGGGTCATGCATGTGATGGTAACATCAGCAGTGTGTGTGTGTGTGTGTGTGTGTGTGTGTGTGTGTGATATTCCTTTGTCTGTCCGTCCTCCCTGCCTCTGCTCTCCATCCATCCCCCCTCCTGTGACATTACAGTGTGTGACATCACCACAGCCGATCAGCATTCAGAGTGGCATAGCAGCCTCCCTCTTTCCATACACAAACACACACACACACACACACACACACACACACACACACACACACACACACACACGCGCACACACACACACACACAGGAGGCAACTGAACATGCTCACAGCACAATCCCCTGCCTACATGACGATGCGATCACTAACACACAAATGTCCCATTGATGGTATAAGACTGAAAACGGCATCAAAATAAATAAAGATAAATATAAAAAAACAAATAATGATTTCATGAGATATCAGCGAGTCAGGTTGGTTTGATATACACCTGACAAATGAAAAAAAGGGCTTTATGGCAATGGACCACGTCACACACCGAGGAGGTAATGTATATTAAATATTGTAATACAGCCAATGGAATATATAAAATCAACAGTCTTTAATGTGTTAAATCTCTCTGCTCTTGGAAATGTTTATAAAGTTGAGCTGCTAATCAGCATTCAACAATTAACACTGTTTCTCTGCTGCTGACTTACCAAACAGTATGTTACATAGAGATAATTTGCATTCTATATTTCTTCATTTATGTATGGCTGTATTTGTAGATACTAACAAAACAAGTCAAATGTATTATTATTTATAAGAACTCAACCTCATGAGAGGACCTGAAGTTATCCTTTAATGAAACAATGCTGTTTACAGCCATGTTTCAGATGTTAATGACAACCACAAATACTTTTTAAACCTGTAACAAACATGTAGATAACATATATGTGCTGTTTTCATCAGCAACAAAACAGACCCCAGTTAATCATGGGTAGAAGTTTTGGAAAATGTTTCAATAAATAACACTGGAAGTGCATTCACACAGTTGGGGAATTCAAGTCTTGCCGAAGAAAATCCTACAGTCCTACAGATGCCGACATGTTTAACTTAACAAGTTGTTATAAACTTTTTGTTGTGATGCTTACCTTGTTGGAGGCCATCTCGCTGACGGAGTGTCTTGTCTGCAGTGTCTCCAGCTGGTCCAGACACCAGTCCAGCTCCTCCAGGGTCTCAGTGGCCAGTTTCTGGTAGGCCTCCTCTGCAGGGGCAAGACAGGAGGGCAAGGGGTCAGTAAGGGCCCGCTTCAGAGGGCTAGGGGACGGTCCAGGCCCGGCGTCTCCCACCCCACATACAGCTAAGCTGGGATACCCCGAGTAGACACATGGGTGACTCTTCATACTGGACAGGTGAGCCAGCTGCCGGCCTGGGGGGGGGTCCTGTGTCCTGACCCACAGAGGAGCAGTCACAGGTCAGCGGGGGCAGAGCTTGCTGATTCCCTTGGAGAAAAAAAACCTCCTGTGCAGTCCTACAGTTCAAATCCTGGATTCTTCCTTTAAGAGTGAGTTAGATACAATCCCAGAGAGGACAGTAAAGGTGATAGATGGCAAACAGCCACCCCTGAGCCAGTTCTGGGTGTCCAAATAAATGTTAACAGGAAGAGGGTCACAGCAGAGAATACAGAGGTAACCCACAGAGAAAAAGGAGAACAAGCAATTTCTCAGATATTCACCATATCCCATACACAGCACATATATCACAGTCAGTGATCTAGGTGTGTAAGGTTTTCGCTATTATTCATAAGAGAGATGTAATTCCAGTCATGTAGCAGGATGAACAGCAGTCTGCTTAGCAGGCCCATGTCTGCTATAGGCGGGATGGAGGGAAAACAGGGGAGGTGGAAAAGAGGATCAGAACCAGTCAAGATTCACGTCAATACTGTCCAGCGAGGAACACACACCAGATTGCTCACAGCATCCTGACATGGTGAACAAATTCAAAGACATCCAAAACACACGCGGACACATTCAGACACACACATGCATACACACATACACACTCACACAAGACAAAATGCTAACCAAAACACATCATCATTTTGTCCTCTTAGCCTCTCTGCTAATGAACATATCCATGGTGTCCGGGAAGCAAAGGGTATAATCCGTTGTGCTTTTAGGATAGTTTCCTATAGATGCTCTGTGTATAGGGGGTGGGCTTCTGTTGCTTCGGCTTCCCTGGTAGCCAAACGTGCTACTCTCCCCAAGCTGTACCTAAAGCCTGAGAGGACTGCACTGTGGATGGGGAAGGGAGAGTGAGAAATTGTGGACTGGAATAAAAGAGGAGTAGAGGCAGAGCTAGGAGCTCCCTATACTATGTGTGCCTGCATGCTAATATGTGTTCAGCATACAAATCCACCAAAACAGAGGTAAACAAGTGACGATATGGTAAAGATGGCAGAGCGTTAGCCCTAGATCAAAGCATCCTATGTAAGACATGCATCCCTCAAAGTCAGCCTATGTTGAAAGAAAATGTCACCTTGTCAGAAGCCAATTAATATTGATGCCTTGACTAATTTGGGAAAGCACAGGCTCTTAATGCTATGTGATCTGTGATCTTAACTGTAATTCAGTTACAGCTAATGTGACATATAGAGAAAGCAGATTACAATCACATGATGTCATTTCAGCTAAATGTACATTTTCAGTCCATTAGACCCCCTCAAAGACATCTATAACTAGTATGTTTGGAAACATGCACACCACTTTTATATCAAGGCATGGCTATTTCTCTTAACCTCTCTTTTTCAATATCCCCCCTATTGTCTTTGACAAATCCCCCCTCCTCCTCACACTCCGCTGATCTCTGAAATACCTTCCTCTTCCCTCTTTTGTATCCCTCTGTCTCTCTCCTCTTTCTTTCTCTCAGTCTCCCTTTCTCTCTCTGTCTCTCTCCCTGGTGTGGTGTCAGTGGCTGGGGTGCTACTCTTTCTGACAGCAACTGCACTGACGTCAATGACATTCTTCTCATGCTTAGTGCGACATCAGACACTGGCGCTCGGAGAGGCCACTCTGCTGCACAGACGCAGGGCTGCAGCCAAACTATGTACCGGAGCAGCTCGGCAGTGAAGTCGGACTGTGAGAGGAAGGACATGAGAGAGAAGGAGAGAAATATGCAGAGAGGGGAGGCTACAAAGAAATCACATTGATGTGATATCGGTTGTTATGCTTGCTTTAGTTATGGTTTAAGATATCATGTGCAAATTATTTTAAAAAAACATAACATACCGACCAACCTGATGCAATGGTTAATTTGATAATGCTTTTTTAAATGTTTTAAATATTTCTTTAAACCTATGTTGTGGGGATTCAAATGATAAGGATGAAAGAGAAAGGACAATCTTGGCACTATGCTCCATATGGATAAAGAAAGAACTGTTCATCCTAAATCATCTAATAGATTTGAGGAGGCCTGGGACATAAATACACATAATATCCTATTTTTCTGGGAACTTAAATTATTACAATTATAAGCCCTGTTGTTTTCATATAAAGTACAAGATGCAATATCTAGAGAGAGAGAGAGAGAAAGGAGTAATTCAGAGTAGTGGCCTCACTCATATTAATGTCATATCTAGAATATAAACCAACAGTTTAAAAGACTGCAATAACATTTCGGATTGAGAGTATGGGATGTTCAATGTTAAAACATACATTGAAACTTTGTAGCATGAGTTTTCATCCTGTTTGCTATACTAGTCACATGCTCAATGATTATGCCTCAATTTGTAAATAAAAAAAATGGCTCCAAAAGATCTTCTTCATATGAACAGTGAGTCCATAACAGATGACAGACAAATGTGAAGCAGAGAGGATTGCAGTGGGATGAGCATAAAGGAAAGTAGAAAAAGAGTAAAGACGCCTACATGTAATCCTTTTTTAATTCACTAGTAATCTATCAATGACTGATTTACTAAATTACTTTTACCTATTCTCCCGTAAGTGTCTTTATCTGCAAGATGACTCAGTCAACGCCTCAGCAAACCTTTGCATTACAAGTAGTCAATACTCTCAAACAATCATGCTCATGACTCAAAGCTGTCACCAGTTTATGGCAGGGCACATAATGGCTGCACACCAGTATGATTGTGTTCTAAATATAGCACAATGTCACCAGGTTCTAATATATAAGCAGAGGAGATGTATTAGGATAGAATGTGATTTTGTGAGGAATGCCAAGATCAAAAACATATTTTTATAGCTGACAAGTCTATTCTAGCCGTCTAACACTGTCTGTGCCATGACTTATTCACAACAAGAACTCTAAGATTCATTCATTCATTCAATTATCAACGTTTATGGTGATGGACAACATCCTAAAACATGGCAGGCTAAAGCTCTGAACTGACATCTGTTTTGTATAAAAACAAATGTAAAATACTTTCTTAAACTTGTCTCTAAGTTGGTAAGTGGATTGAAAAGATGGAGATCTGGAGCTTCAGGGTTTCAGTTTCAGTTAACATCCACTATAAAGCTGCTTTTAGAAACATATAAACTGGGTGATTGTCTTGCAAAAGATGTGATATGGCAAATCGCAAAGTCCCCAAAAACAAGCAGGAACTGAGCGTTCATTCCAAAGTGAACAAACCTCTGTAACTGTTATTACCTTTTCAGAAGATTTGACAGCAGCTTGAATAAATAAACCCATAATAGATAATAATATTTCTAATACTAAAACGTTTAATGCTGTATCACTTTACCTTTGGTCCTCCAATTTAGCATTTACTGTACAAGTATATATATATATGTAATAAATGGTTTAGGACAAACACAAATAGGCATGTTTGATAATAATCAAAGTGTGTGTTCATTTACAGTATTTGTCACCAATTATAACCTCTCCTAAGAAGACATATTACGTTATAGTTATTGAGAAATACATGAACAGTTGTATCTGCTTCTACATTATAGTATGTTATTTACCATATATTCTATGTTTATACATTGCCAAACAATTGGACTTTAAGTAAAGTATCACATCTAATGCTAACAATATTAATTATGTTTACTTTTTCTATAGCATTATCTATTCCTGATCTCCAGATGTCACTTCTTATCACGCATACACACACACATAGACTCATCGATGACACAAGCCATTAAGCTGTCTACGTACCCGTGAAGGTGGTCTTGGTGATGGGGGGTTGGTTACACATGGGTGATCTCCTGTGATGGGGGAGGCAAACACACACTGAGACATTTCCCTACCAAAACAATAGAATCAGCAGTTTACATGAAAATAGTTCCTTTATGACTCTCTATACGACTCTTACCAATAAAGGAGAACCATTTCCTTTGAATCATTTCTACACATGTATGCAGCACACTGCAGCAGAGGGTACCTTCACAGACAACTGTTGTTGTAGTACTCAATACGATCAGCAGAGGGCGAGCAAGGCCAGACTGTGAGTGAGCTCTAGACACAGTGCAAGTAAGTGCAGCATGTGAATACCTGAACATCTCTGCAGCTTCTTACTCATAAAGGGACTGTCACCAAACATGCGTGATTTGCTGGCATGTTGACAACAGTTGTCTGTGATACAGTCACTCCTCCCACTATGACAGATTTCATTTCTGTTTGATACACAAAAACAAAAAACTGTTAAGCAAGCAACTTACTTATTGGCCGCTCTGTCTTGTGATAGATTAGTTAATGCACCAAAGTTGTTTCGTACTGTTCTCAAGCTTGCCAGAACCTGTAGAGAAAATGTATCATACATCAATTAATGACAAATATGAAGACAAATGTAAAAAATAAAAAGATGTGTATTGGACTCCAGCGCTCACCTGTGCAAATGGCGTTACAATCATATCGTCACCATGACTGAAAAACACAAAGACAGTGGCTTTATAATCAGCTGCAGATCTACAGTATATTAATATTAAGCAACAGAGGAGTTTCTTCATGTGTTGAAAGGGTCAAGGGGAGGAGGGTCATCACATTAGATTAGTTTTGGCATCTCTGATGCACTCGATCACAGTGACATGTTTACTCATCACATCACCATCAGCTGAGGCCCTACGTCACTGTGCGTAATAGTTGTAAACAGTTGGAGGTTTAATAAGGGATGTGATGGCGGACATGTTTCTGAACACATAACGGTGAGCATGTTCCTGACTTTGTCTCTGTTATTCAGCCCTTGGACACACATGTTAAGAGTCCTGCCAAAGGGAACCCCAGTGGCATTGTTAAAGGTGTTGATAGCATTACTCATTCAACTAAAGGAATCTTAAACCGTGCTCTTTGAGTCAGAATCCTGCCGACCTCTGAGCTACATTATGGCTGTGAACACTGTCAACATTTGTTCAGGTGACAGCAGGGTAATGGTGTCACGGAGCGCTCCTCCTCCTGCTCTGTTCTACAAGGCCGCAGCCACGTCATGCACACACCCACCGGCACGTGAGCTGACACGTCTGGCATGAAAGTCAAAAGAGACACAGGCTTGTCATGTGCTCCTATCACAAGACAAATAGGAGGTATTTAAAGTAAAGATGAGGGGCCATGTTCCCTTTGAGTGAGAGAAAGAATGTTTGTGAACAGATAAGAGGAGAGGCAAGAATATGAGATATGATATGGCTGTTCACCTTTGCCTTTTGGTCGGCATACAGTCTGTGCTATCCCTTTTTTGATCTTTACTTGTGAGAATTTACTCTGACAAAGTAAGAGGATTCTGAGGATGTCTCTTAGTGTTTAAGGAAGTATGCAATCAACAATACACATTAAACTTATTCGTGTTGAATTATTCATTTCGCAAGGAGAGCTTTTAACATGCTGCCTCCTGCTAGCCATCTCAAGTTTCCTAATTTATGCAATTCACCAGAATAAAACATAAAAGAATGAGGCATAAAGTATTAAGTGTTTTTTTTAAGGTCAAAGGCTTTAAAGGTTTTTACAATGGTAAATGGATAGTGGTCGTAGGTCAAGAGAGGGCCATTGGTTTTAGACTCTAGCAAAGGCTGCATTAAGTAGGAAATATAAGGTTACTGCAGGACATTGTTTTTCTTTCTTTAGTCTATTTGTCTTTTCCTTCAGGCTGAATTGAAATGCTATATTTTCAGTCAATATTTTATTTCCTGTAGTGAACAGTTCACGTAACTGGATGCCACCACTGTGTAGGAAGAGAGGAATGTGCTATCGATATATACTGTACACTGAGCCAGAAAATACATGCTGGTTTGTGTGTTTGACCATCATGTCTGCAGTCTGCTATGGTTGTAAGGCAGTGGAGAGTTAGTGTCTAATACCTCAATCACACCAACGCAACTCCGGTTCAAGCTCCGTGCTAGAGCTTTTCAGGTTCAGAACCGGTTCTTCGGTTTAGCTCCGGCTCTTTCATTCCGCCCAGAGTCCGACTGGTGCTGCGTCATTGCGTCATGATGTAACCGTTTACGTGCCTGCTTCATAAAGCCAAACCGCGCGGAAACACCTCACAGCTCACGCCGACAACAACAACAATGGCCGATTGTGTTGAAGCGCTACTCGTTTTGGTTTTGCTCTGTCGAAACGAAACGGAAGAAATGGGACGACTTTACTACCAACTTTACATTCGTTACATGCTACATTCAAAACTGCTTTACAATCGTAATCATCAACTTCAACGACGATTCCGATTCCCCCTGCCCCCGCCTCGACGTAAGCGTGACCTATGCGGTGCTTTTGCTCTAACCGGACAATTTTTTGGTGCTTGAAACGAACCGGATTCCNGTGTGTGTGTGTGTGTGTGTGTGTGTGTGTGTGTGTGTGTGTGTGTGTGTGTTCAACAATCATGAAAGAAACATCATGTATTACTGCTGTAGTCATGTGGTTGTTGATTCTACCCATACAGATGATATATAACCTGGTACTTTTACTCAAGTGCTGTCATTAAGTACACATTTTAGCTGCTTCTAAAGTAATATTATGCCCCTTTGAGTATTTACGGCATTTAAATGCAACCTAAAGAGGATATGTAATAGTAAAAAATTGATATTTAACTGCACAAGAAATACTTTTACTGTGCATAGTTTAAGTATTGTTTGCTGATACATACTTTTACAGTGTAGTATAATCTTAATCATTCTTCCACTCGTGTTTCTTTTCGCCCCAATTGTCTGAACCCACAATTAAAAAGAATATTTCAGTTATATAGTATTATGTTTTTCAGTAATGAAATATTATGTTAAAAATCACAAGATTTATAGATTAATGGTTTTAATTCTAGAGAAAAGGAATGGACATTTGAAAAAAGACTACATAAAATACTTTTTGTTGAATAAAAAGTCCAATATTTGTCCCTAAAATGTAGGGAGAACAGTAAGTATCAAAATATGCATTTAAATCGAGTAGTTTTCAGTAGACGGTTAATAGAAATGTACATAAGTAGAATTAAAAAAGGTGTTTCTGGGAAGTGAGAGTGGAGTGAGTGTTGGGAGAATCAGCGCACCGAGGCTTTAATTACACACCTGAATTAGGTCTGAATGAGTGGTGGCTCCATTATCTCCACTAATTAATTAATCAGTGAAAAGTTAATTAAAAGGCAGAACATTAGCTCAGTGGTTAGCGGTGTTAGCTCACAGCCAGCAGACCCTTTAATAATCCTAATGAGGGAAAGTTCTATATTTATATCCTTTTTCTCGCCCGGGGCGTAAATATTAGACGATTTGCTTCTGGTTTCTATTTCTAATACTTATATTTAAATTTGAAAGCAATCTCTTGCATAATATATGTGTTTCAGCAATAAGAGACATTCAAATCACTAGATATTAAGCATTTAAATATTTTTTTAATGAGCACGAATTGGCTGTTAGGTGTTTGTACTGTACGAACTTATTTAATACAAAATGAATAATAAAAGTATTCTTGGATGTTTTAATGAAGGCTGCTGGGAAATTGCGTGTGTGTGTGTGTGTGTGTGTGTGTGTGTGTGTGCGTGCGTGCGTGCGTGCGTGCGTGCGTGCGTGCGTGCGTGCGTGTGTGTGTGTCCTGCTGCCGATACTCAAAGTGACCTTAAATTGTGTTTACATGTGAAATGATTTCCGTCTGGCTTCCCATCCTGATCTGAGTGAGTCCTGTTTGGAATCACAAAGAGACGAAGGAAATTATTACAAAAAGACACAAAATGACTACAAATAGACATTTCATGACTGAAAAAATACGCAAAATGACCCAGGAGAGAAACACAATGACTACAAAGAAATACAAAACAACCACTAAGAGGCAGAAAGGCACTCGACACAATTACAAAAAGACACGAAATGGCACAAAATGTCCGGCAAAAAGACACTCAAAGTGACCACAGACCACAAAAATGACCGAACAATTTCAAAGACAATCAAATGAGCTCAAATAAAGTCACATTATCAACATGTTTGTATATGTGCTTCATCCTTCTCTATCACTATATATTCGCCCTAATGAATCTCTTGACAGGGAGTCAATGTGACAGATATCAGATTAAAACTCTTCCTCTCAGCTTTTTCCCTCTCTCTGTGCCAAATCCCTCTCAACAGTTTCTCTTTCTCTTTGTTATTATGCAGATGAAGCCCAGTTAACTCTCCTCTCTAAATCCGAGTGGGATGAAAAGCTATTTCTGACAGAAAATCAGTGGGCTTCAGTGTGAGATCACCTGCAGAGACTTTCTTTCTGCCATAAGAGAGTCCAACAGGAAGCAGAGTGTGACTGGATCTTCTGGGGAAAAGAGTGAGCATCAAACGTTTTATTTGTATCAAACATCACCGAGGAAATGAAAGAGAGTCTGCTGGCAGAACTAGGACAGTTTGAACACCTACAAAAGTTTTATTTCCAGCATTAATTGATAATGTTTTCAATGCTGCAGCTCTTTGATGCTCTCTAGTGGGCAGGACGGCTGTCACAGTTTCAACTAGAGGATTACTTTTACTTTCATACCATATGTTATATAATGCTGGAGACAGGGATTATCATTACTTTTATAAATAGATGTGACAAAAGCAGGTTTTTTTTTATTATATAAGGGTATAATGCAAAGTCTATGGAGGACTGAATTATTATTATAAATAATACACTCAATTTATAAAACTATGGAAAATTAAATGGATATGTAAAAGCTGCAATTTCCAAACAAAAGTGCAGGTTAATTTGAGAGAGTTAAGATGAACCAAAATCTGTTAAGTGCCAACATAAAGGCTCCAAGAAATACTTAATTAAAAGAAGAAATAAATAAGTTAAGATATAAATAAAAACTAAAATAAATATAAACAAAGTAGAATGATTTAGGAAATAATCAGAAATTAAATTAATAAAATATATGTCATTTTTCAAATCTCTTAAAGGGGACCTATCATGCAAAATGCACTTTTGATGTCTTTTATACATTAAGATGTGTCCCCGGTGTGTCGGGGAA